TCTCCATTGTATAAGTAGCTAGTTGGTGGCTTGAGAAGCAAATAGATATAGTAAAACTGTAGCAGGTCCCTGAACATGCTGGCCTCATATCCTATAGTAGAATGGACCATTAACAACCCACTGCTAGAAAGTGTGCTTTTAGTCGCTTTGTTCCTTTCATTTCTGCAAAGTTTCAAAATGTTTCAATGGAAATATTGGGGATAAGCAGGAAACATCCACTCATGGACAGGAGGAATTTTCCTAATATGCCACTGAGGATTACAGGAAACAGACTTGGAAGTGCACCATAGGGTCTGGCGTGAAAGCTCTGTAGAAATCAAGCTAGCACTCTCTTCCCTCCTTGTCTCTCTGTTAATGAATATGCACTAGATTGTCAGTCACCATCAGGAAAGCAATCCCATCGCTGGCATGTTGTTTGTATGAGGGTAATACTTTGTTCTTTATGTGTCATGGAACCTGTGATTTGTCATGTGTGATTATCATGTCAGCAAATTAAAATGTCAGAGAGCACAATTCCTGGCTTCTAGCTCAGAGGGAGAGATGCTTAGGGTGGGGGACATCCTGTTAGCCAGATGAGGCAATGTTCTGCCAGCTTCTAGTGCCAGGGAAAGCCTGGACAATAATCACTCCCAAGCCTATAAGCAGGACCACCCAGGCCTACACCGCTGCCAATCAAAAGTCCTTCTTACCTTGGTCTAGCCTCTTGGCAGCTGTCCTTCTTAGCTCCAGCTTTGCTCCTACCAAGGTGGGGGAGGGGAAATCAGCAGAGAGAGAGAGAGAGAAAGAGAAAGAGAGAGAAATTCTTTTAAAGGGACTAGACCAGAAGGACTGGGTGGAAAGCCACTGTCCATGCTGGATGGCTTGTTAGGAAGAGAGCTCTATACGACACATCATTAGAAGATATAGATTTTAATAAATAATGCTTGATGCACTGGAGTCAAAGCCAAAGGCAAGGAAAAGCCTACACATGTGCCAACCTTCCTACAAGGGTTGGGGGAAGACAGAACAGTGATTCAAGAACGACAAAAGCCAAGGCAGGCGCTTTCCCCTAGGAACTTGTGAGTGCTCAGGCCAGTCCAGCAGCCTGCCAGGAAGAGGGCTGTGAGCTGCTACCAGAAGCTTCCCTGAGTATCCTTTCCTGGCATATTTCTGCCAGATGGTCGTTCTGTTCTGGAATTCCGAAAGTTCTTGGCTCTCCTGTCAGTTGCAACCTGAGCCCAGAGAACTTGGTTCAACATTTTCCTCCTTATTCCAGCCCTGCAGCCAACAAGCCATCCTAGAGCCTGGTTGTGTAGGAGACAGGGGGCAAAACCTCTCCAGCCCTGGGCTCTGTGTGCTTGGTAGAGCAGCAGCAGTGCTGAAAGACACCTTCTCCTGCCCAAGCACAGCTTTGTCGGCTCAGATAGAAATGCTTTTTTTTTTTTTTTTTCCATGTCTTGAATTTCCTCCTAGGGCTATTCTACAGTTTTTAATTGCAATCCAGAATCTCAACAAATCACAAATGTCACATGTAAACACAACTGGTATATAGAGCCAGTCCAGTTGTAGTTGCTAATAGAAAGAAAGAAAGAAAGAAAGAACGAAAGAAAGAAAGAAAGAAAGAAAGTGAAAAGACTACATCACAAATGCCTACATAGAATGGGAGATAGTTCCATGGGGTGGGGTTGGGGGGAGGGTGCAGGTTTCCTAGAGGGCTTGCTGCAGAGGGAATTCTCCCAGTGCAGCCAACCCTTCTCCTAAGTTCCCTGGCCAGACAAAAGGGCTTAGTACATGTAGCTGAGGCCTAGGAGACATTCTAGGAAGGGTAAAAGGTCCCAGCAGCCTTTTGAGCTAGCACAAGCTCTAACAACTCTAAACATGGTTGGGAGGTGGCCCGGCTGCCCTTGCCTTCCCCAGGCACAAAGGATGCAGGTTTCTGCGGGACTTTGCCCCTGAGTCCCAGCTTAGAGGACCACCATACACTCTGTGCCCACATATTTCAAAAGACACCTTTCCGGTGGGCCTCCCCTTGCCACTGGTTCAGAGGTGGGAGCTGTGGCTGGCAGAGGAGATGGGGTCAGCCAGCAGCGCAGTAGGTTTGCGGTTGAACTTTAGGAAAACATCACACATTTGAATTTGCTGTATGCTAGGTGCTATATTTGTTGCTGTATAACAAATTTTGCCCACAAGTGTTTAGAAATATATCCAAAGTTCCCGTAGAAACCATCAGCATCCTGGTTGAAGGAGGCGGTTTTCAAAAACGTGCCTTCTGCCTGAAGAAAAGGCCACTCGCAAAAGAAGGCATCTAACGGGATTCCCGGGGATGGCCTAGGATCTCTCTTTCTTGTGAATATTTCAGAGTCACCAACCACATTGGCTGCACACAGACACAAGGCTACTTCTCAGAGGCGATGTCCCTCTGCCCGGAAGAACTGTCTTGTCCGGATCTTTTACTCAGCGTTTGGTTACAAACGACAATTCTCCAGTCTGAAAGGAAAAGAAATCCAAATATATAACTAAAGTTGGAAAGCGTGAGTCTCCAGTTCTGGGAAGACAAGGGAGAGACTGATGTTGTGGAAGAGAGAAAGGGTGGCTCCTTTCCCCTAAGGGAATAGAGAGAGCTAGGAAGACATTGGTGGAAATATGCCACTTTTAACCTCTTCATTAAGTTGCTTCCACACCAGGAGCTCTTTGCTCTGGGAGCCTCACCGTTGGCATCTCAGAAGGCACCTCGGGATACTCAAGCTCTCACCCTATCTGGCCCACCCACGCTCAAGTCCCCAGTGCAAGGACCTGCTCTCCCAGAGCTGTCAGATAAACCTCGCTTAGAGCCTGAGCGACCAGCATGGCCTGAGCAACCAGCATGCATTCTGGTGGGGCTGGAGGCCGCCGGTGCCGGTCGGGGGCACGGGGAGGGCTGGAGTGGCTGGAGGGAGGCGAGGGGGAGGAAAAAAAGGAGGGGGCAGCCGGTGGACTAATGATGAAAAAGTCTCCTCCATCCTGACTCCTTAATTAAATGCATGGAAAGAACCGAGGCGCGCACATCTGTTTTCAATCTACAACCCTTTGATGGCATCAAATGTTCTTTCCCCAGATCAGGGCTGGAAGTTCTGGGCTAACTATGGCCGTTTGGAGCCCAGAAACCATTTACACACACTGGGACCCTTCCTCCTTTTCAATTCAACCTCAGAGCTACAGGAGGAGGGAAAATGTAGCAATCAGGGGAGGGGAAACGTATGTATGTGTGCTTAAAGAACATAAAACGCCACAAATAAGCACTTAGTATTTTACTTACTGGCCATACAGTAACTCATTCCTAATGAGACTATTAAAGCTGTTACCAGATTCCAACAGGTCATGAAAACACCGCCCAGCACCCCCCTGTCCTCTGTCAAGGCTGATCCATAGACTTCGACCCCTGCCTTCCTCGGTCTCTGGGTCTGCCAGGACCTAACCTGGCGGGGCACAGATTAGCACAGAGACTACCCCCAGCTCCTTCAGCCAGGGTGCCAGTGTCTGCTCCGAATTTGGGAAGCCTCTGAGCTTACCATCCTCGCCTGGGAAAGCGACCTTGGCCACACGTAAGAATATACAGCGTTGGCAAGGGTAGGGGGACCATCAGGACAGGCTTTCCTCCCGTTTAATAAATATGTAAATCTTCTACTCCCTGAAGCCTGGGGATTTCTGGTGGCAGCGAAAGAAAGTCTCGAATCCATTCGAAGCTGAAGACTTCTGGAGCCCTCCAAGCTTCCTCTAGATCGCAGAGAGCCTCCCCTTATTATCGCTCTGGTTATTTTATTGCATTATTTAATAGGCTGTCTCTACAGAGCCAAACGAGCTTTAATAGGCTTGCTCTTTTGCCTCTCTGTCTCAGACTCTCCCCGCGATCTCCGCCAAAACAAAACTGCAGGAAAAAAGTTGCCGGGGGGCGGGGCGGCAGCAGCAGATTTGATTGTTACAGATCTGCGTTCTTTTCTTCCCCCCCCCCCTAACAACTTTGTCCTCGGATGTTATCAAAACATGCAAATGAGGTTTTCCAACAGGATCTGAAACCAAATCGGAGGAGTTAATGCCGAAACAAAATAATCAGCCCGTTTGAAAGTGACTGTGGGCTTCGGGTTCTTTTCTGTCTGTGACGCGACTGCCAGGGAATGACAATTAGATCTCGATTTTAAAAATCCAAAGGGGCTCTCTCCTTTGCTTCCCTCCCTCTGCTCTCCCTCTTACCTCCTCCCTCCCTCCTTTCCTCCCTCTCTCCCTCCCTCTCTCCCTCTCTCCTGCTCCCTCCCTCTCCCTTTCTCTCTGGCTCTGATGTTGGCAGAGGGGTTTTCTTAATCAGACTGTTTTTTCGGTCCGAGGGAAGAGGAGGAAGGAGATTGTGATGGAGAGAGGGGGTCTGTAAAACGTCAGGCGCCGCACAAAGGCTTTGCCACGTAATTACAGGCTCCTATTAAGTGGAGCTCTGCCCTCCCAGGGGTCTCCAATTTTCTTGTATTCCCTACAAAGCCTCCTCTCCATGCCAGTCTGTGCCTTTTGAAGTGCCAGAGAGCTTCTTGATCCAACTGAGAAGGGGAAAGAAACTCCGCACGGAGAGAAAGAGAGAGAGAGAGGGAGAGAGAGAGAGAAGGGGAAGGGGACCCGCCACCCCTCCGCCGGCTCTTGAGGCTCCGCTTCTTTATTTCTTATTTTTTTTTCCCTCCTCACGAAAAGTAAAGTGAGAATCCTGCTCTCTCCTACATCTGCAAGACATCACTCTCCTGAAATTCTAGTCACTCCTGAGAATCCACAGGAGCGCGGAGAGGGGAACGCGCTCTCTTGAAGACATTTGAAAGCTGGAACAAACCTTCTTCTGTTGGTGCTTGAACTCTTGCCGGGGAATAACTTTTTTAACCTCTTTTTTTTTTTTTTTTTAACCCGCTTCGATTCTTCTCTCCACCCCTTCTTCTCCCGTTTGCCTAACTCCCCCGCCCTGCTGGCCTCCCCTTTCCTCTCTTCCCCCTTATTATCATTATTTCCAGCGTCTGCGTGTGGACGCTTCTTGAGAGTTGGAAGGGATTTCTTTTTTTTTTTTTCTCAAGGCTTTTTTTCCCCCCCTCCCATAACTTTTCGGTGTGGATTATCTCTCTGGACCGCGCCGGCCGGACTTGGCTTCAGCGAAGCAACCGAGTCTGCGGGGAGAAAGTCACTGGTGCCGAAAAGTTGTGCTCTTCAGAAGGGGGTCCCCGCCCTCTCTCTCTCTCTCTCTCTCTCTCTCTCTCTCTCTCTCTCTCCCCACTCCCCCCTCTTTCTTCCCCACTCGGCTCCTCTCCCCCCCTCACGCCCACAGCGTTTGGTGTTGATTCGAGCGGGAAGAGGGGGGTGGGTGGGATCGGAGGGGCAGACCATGACCTCCAGCTACGGGCACGTTCTGGAGCGGCAACCGGCGCTGGGCGGCCGCTTGGACAGCCCGGGCAACCTCGACACCCTGCAGGCCAAGAAGAACTTCTCCGTCAGTCACCTGCTAGACCTGGAGGAGGCCGGGGACATGGTGGCGGCGCAGGCGGACGAGAGCGTGGGCGAGGCGGGCCGGAGCCTGCTGGAGTCGCCGGGACTGACCAGCGGCAGCGACACCCCCCAGCAGGACAGTGAGTGAGGGGCGCGCGCGCTCCGGGGGAGTGTGTGTGTGCGGGGTGACAGAGCGGGGACAGAGCGGGGGAGGCCCGGGGAGGACGGCGGGAGCAGAGTCTGGGGAGCGTGGCTGGTCCCAGGTCGGAGAAGGACGGCTGAGCCAAAGAGGGCTCCTCTGGGGGGTGTGAGCCGAGCGGATGCTGGAGGGAGGAGGCCCGGAGGGCCCCGGGGACGCCGGGAGGCCGGGCGAGCCCAGGCAGGGACTCTGCGGTCACCGCTGTCTCCGGCCGCCCGTCGCCCAGACTGCATCTCGGTTTCGGGCGAGAGATGCAGGGCGGGAGTGGTCTCGGCCAGAGCGCGGACGACGCAGCCACCTCCGGTAGAGAACACAGCGGGCGAAGATGCCGGGTGGGCTCGGGAGCGCTTCTTCTCTGGGACTGGGGGGGGGGGGGGGAAGCACTGTGCCTAGGGGAAAGCTGGAGGATGAGACTCAGGTTGCGCGTCCTGTGCGTGGGACCCAGGCCTGGACGAGGCCGAGGGCAGCGCGGGAATGCCCAGCCCTTGTTGTCCGGGCTTGCTCTCTGCCCCCTGCTGTCACCTCTACCTGTGAACTGGTTTGAGGCAGAGCTAAAAGCCCGTCTGTTAAGGCAAACCTTCCTTGATGAAGCTAAGAGGATGTTCTTGAGAAGCAAAGCGGGAGACTGGCGAGCTTGATCTAGCTAGCACCATCCTTGCACGAGGGAATCGCGGGTTGCAGGCCCAAGTCCTTGCACAGCGCGGCCTGTTGGACCTTAGACCTCTGGGGAAAGTCTGTGTACAAGCTGCCTTACCCACCCTCAGTCGCTCGACCTCTTCCCCACGAAATGTTCATCTCGGAGTTACCTTCACTTTTGCAAAAATACTGACCGCAAGTCTGTATGTCGTGGCTCCAGTATACAACTCTCTTGTCACTTGGTTCATCCCAAGTGGCCTCTAGTCAGATGCTCAGAGATACTCTCTTCCCTCCTGGAGGTTTCAAGAGTCTGGACCCAACAGAAAGTTCTAAAATGACCTCCTCCCTTATCGTTATAAGGAATTTGGACCTTGGAGGGCCCTCGAACGTTCCGTGATTCTTTCAAGACACTGTCCATCTTAGACTTAAAAATAATAATTTTAAAAAGACCTTTAAAGCAAGCTGGCACCAGAATTATCCCGGAATGGTTCCTCAAGGAGCCAGGCCACATGAGAGCGCTATCTTGTCAGGGCGCTGCTGTCCCCTAGTTCTGCAGCCTTAAACTACTGCAGCCTACCAGGACTGAACTCGTTCAAAGGACAGTAACCTGGGGGCCAGGCAACCCTGGATTGGGCCCACTGAGCGCCACAAGAACTGAACGAAGATTTTTGAGCCAGCCGTTTGAGTTACAGAACCCAGTCCAAAGCAAACCTAGAAAGAATCGGTGCCCCGAAGCCTGGATAAGTAGGTTCAGAACTAATCATTCCGTGTAGGGGTTTCAGGGGGGCTTATCCTGGTGTACATACCATCATCTCATGGAAGAAGTTTCTGAAGCTCCAATCAAATGGACTACAAAATGCTACCATTATTTCAAACCTTTCGCTGGGGGAAAACGTAAAACAAAAACTAGGAAGATGGTACCTGGCACCCCGGCTGTAGTTGCTTTGTAACTCTGTCAGGACAGTTTCCACACAGCTAATTACTGATCCTAATCTTGAAGAACTCAAATTGGAACCTCTCACTAATACACACACACACACACACACACACACAACCCCAACAGAAAACAAGCCTCACAGAAACCGCTGTGTTGAAGACCAAGGTGGGCAAGAGAAAGAGGGTCATATTGCTCTTTGTGCCAAAGAAGGCTGGAGCTTAGGAAATGCTGCACCAAGCCTGGCCTCAGCAAGCTCCAGTGGCAGTCAGCATCAGAAACTTCGGGGCTGGGAGGGGGTGGAAAGCACTGGTTTTGTTTGTCTTGTTTTGTCTCTCCTTTAAGGAGGCCACAGGAGAAGGGGACTGTCATGGTCTAACAGTGGGTATACACAAAAGCCAAGCTAAGGAAGCCGTTGAGCTGATCTAGAGGGGCTGAGCTGAAACTGGTTGAAACTGGACATGGTTTTTGTGAGACTCAGGCCTAGAACAACCAAGGTCATATCCTGCAGATGAATCCCCTGGACAAGCTTAAGGTTTCCACCGCCCTGGGGGATCTTTCGCTCACAGGAAAAAGGGCAATGAATCCATGAATTTCTGAATCTGCTTGCATGCAACTCAGCCCTGTCTCACACTTATAATACATAGAGAGGCAGATGGAGACAGGACCCAGACAGGAAAGTCAAGCCTCTTGAGCTAGCCTGGGGAAAGGATATGCCAAACCAGACAGTCACCAGTCAACAGAAATGCAGGGTGAGGTAAGGAGTTTAAGTGACCTGCGCTTAGGACCTAGAAAGAATTCAGGGAAGCAACACCCAGGCACAGGGCTGACTTGGTCTTTCAGGGAGATGGTGTGCAGGACTGTACTGAGAAAAGGTTGTTTTTGGAAGCAGAGTTTTGCTGTTGTTGTTGGTTTTTTTCTTTTTTCTTTTTTCAGTGTTCTCCTTCTCCACAGGGAGTAATAACAGGGGAACCTTGTCTGATAAGTCAATGGCTGCCCATCTTGACTCTTGAACACTAGGTAGAATGCAAAGGAAGTTGCAAGACCCATGGGGGGACGCTCTTCTCCTCCAGCTTGAAGTAGACAGTAGAGCTCAGATTATAGACAGGGAAGAGGGCTGTCTGGGATAGAGGAGGGCTGCTGCCGAGATCCGGCGGTAAGGGACTTAGGGGGTCACAGTAGGGGTCACAGGGGACGAAGAAGTTCACTGTGAGTCAGGTGCTCACAGTGGGAAAGAAAAACATCCTTCAAAGAGATGGGAAACAATGAACAGATTAGTTTTCCAGGTATAGGGAAACCTGGCCTCCTTATTTATCTGGAAGAAATTAGCATGTAGGTTCTACAGATGCCCCTGACAATAGATTCTTCGTTTTGTCAAAATTTGCATTTCAAACTGGTCAGTTATTGTAAAAAGAGCCCCCCTCCGGCCTCCCCTGCCACCATCAGCAACCCTGTCCCTGGTAGGGGCTGATGACCACTCCGTTTTCTTTTCTGTGGTAGGACCGCTTTTATTGATTTTTTTTTTTTCCCAGCCTGGCATATTTTTCTCAAACGTTTTGGTTCCTTTAACACTGTTAGAAACCTGCGGCTAATGTAGTGGAGGAACGTGCAGCGGATGAATTTGGGTGATGGCAAAGCAGGGAGGAAGAAGAAGGAGGCAGTAAAACAGGCGGACCTACTCTCGAGGGGAACAGTTCATCCCGCTGTCAACTTCTTAATTTCAACTTCTGCAAACTCTAAAAAAAAAAAAAAACACGCCTGCCTCCACGTTCCCAACCTCTAAATTAGTGAAACCAGATTGTCCTAATAAGACCTTTTGTTGGAAACACATGTAGTCATAAAAAGGTAGACGGAAAGTCAATTAGACACGCGCGCGCGCGCACACACACGGACACATTCACCAGCCGGCGCTAAGTGTGCACCCGGGCACAGCTGGGCCCCGGGGCCCTGGTGGATGCGAACACGGAACAGGAGCGCGGGAAATCGATTTGTCACAAAGGGAGAGGTGTAAACGCACGCAAAAGATCGCCCCCCCGGATCCGGATCCACCAGCCCCACGCCCCGCTGGCCCAGCTCCCCGATTCCTCTAAGTCAGAGGAGCGGCCAGGAGAGCGGGGACGTTCTCTAGGGCACTCGCCAGTTAGAGTCCGCATCAAAATAATATCCGTTCCCTCTCTCCCCGCAGCCGCTCATTTCGCAATAGTTAGGGCGCCAGAAGTGTCTTTCTCGGCACCACCCCTGGCACTTGTGCCCTACGCTGGTACCCTGAATTTGAATTCAGGCCTCGATGATCTTAATTCGAAATGGAGATAATAAGACGAGTCTTCTTAAGGGGGGCCTGGAAAACTCACTCTTCATGGGAGCGGCGGATGAAATCCAGGGGCAAGGGAGTCCCCCAAAGCGTTAAGCCTAACGCAAAGGCTGGTGGCGAATTGCTAAGGGGCGGAGAGCATGGTGGACTCCAATTAAAATTTTCAGAGAAGATGACAGTCCCGGTAACTTCGAAGTTTGGGGAGCAAGGGCAACTCGGGGTGGAAAGTGTCAGGGAATTGGACCCCTAGGAGCCAAGAACCCAGAGAACCAGCTTCGGGCATCACTGCACTTAGCCTCCAGGAAACCCTTCCCAAGACCCTTCAGCATCCTAGCCTCAGGCTTTGCTCGGTCAGTGAGCATTCTTAAGAGGCCCTCAAGGCAGAGCGCTGGGTAGCAAGGCATCCGCAGTGGATCGCACCGAGTCAGTAGGTCCTTTGTCTTTTCCCAGGGCCATCGTTTTAGATTTTACAGCAGGAGCGAATAAATCATCCCTAAAACAACACGTGCCACTCCTCATGCCCTCTGAGAAACGTCTTTTCCATTTTCTATTACATGGACTCCAGGACAAGGGAAGGGTTTTGACCGCTGCGCCAGGCCAGCGGCGCTGGGGTCGGGGGGGGGGGGGGGGGGAGAACACTGGGCAGTAAATGGCAGCTGTAGATTTTCAACTGTGAGGGTCCCTAGAACAACTGGATGTTCGATTTTAAAGGATTTGCAATTCTCTTCCAACGCGGCGTTTATCATTTATGAGGGTTCACTGCAGTAGTGAGGGAGTCTCCCCCAAGGCAGACTTCTAACCTCGCGGTGGCTAAAAGGCTTGGGCTTCTGGTACCCGGTTGCTGCAAACTCTTGTGCCTCTGGGTCTTGTACTGTGACCCCGGGAAGCCTCCAGGTTAAGGCTCCATCCTCTTTGTAGGCTGTGGAATGTTCCTTTTATTAACCCAGCAGAAGAGCCACATGAGGAACCACTTTGAAGCTGGAAGGGGTATTTGTAGAAAAGGAGATAGATTTTACATTGTGTTGGATGTGGGCAAGAAGAGATCTTTTAGGCCGACAGT